GTCGGCGGCGTCGACGAAGTAGGGCGATTTGAAGTTGGAGTCGCCATACCAGTGCCGCGCGTACGTCGCGTAGATGAGCGCGCGGAGGTCCGGCGAGTCGTTGGGGCCACCACGGTGGACGATCTGGTAGTCGAAGAGCACGACGTCGCCGAGGCGCAGCTCGTCGCGCCGCATGGCCTCCAGGGGCCCGCCGGGGGCGCTGGGCCGGCAGTGCGGGCGGCCGCCGTCCTTGTCCCGGTTGTAGACACGGCGAAGCTCGGCGCGGAGCCCGGGGTCGCCGACGTTCGCGCCCGCGCTCGGGAAGTCAAAGCCGGCGAGCGCCGTGCTGCCGACGCAGAACTCCGTTGGCCCGTGCGCGAGCGTGACGGCCTCCGGCGCGAGCGCGTGGAGGACCGTGATGGCCGTCGGGGGGACGTCGTGGCCGCCCAGGCCGTTGAGCGCGAGCGAGTGCTTCCCCAGGAGATATTCGTCGTCGAGGTGGAACGGCTGCGCGCCGCCGCCCGGCTCTGCGAGCGCCGCGCCGAGGTCGTTGAGCTTGAAGTTGTCCCCGAGGAGCCGAGGGTGCGACAGGAGCTTCCGGAGCCAAAAGGGCGCGAGGAGCTCCGGCGTCCCGAAGGCTTCCGGGAGGAGGAGTAGCCACCGACGGTCGCCGATGCCCTTGACAAAGAACCGCTCGCCGTGCGTCGTCGTGCCCTCGATGGAGCCGTTCCGCAGCGCGGCGACGTAGGCGTCGAAGCGTGCCTTGTAGTCGACCATGTAGGCGCGGCTCGTCGCGTTGCGTACCACGACTAGGTGACACCGCCGGAAGAGTGCGACCGCGTCGTCGAGGAACGTCGGCGCCGCCGCGTCGGCGACGCCCGTCCGGCACGCCTCGTCGCGCGCGATGTCGAGCGCGAGTCGCACGAGGCGGTCGGCGCTCTGGAATCCGGCCGCCGCGTCGCTGCCCCGCGCCCGCGCCTCGGCGAAGGCCGCGGCGCACCACGTGCCGGGCTCCTCGCGGCACGTCAGGAACTCCG